ATATAAATCTCAGCCACTTAAACCTTTGGATTGCCTGGGAGTGTTGTATTTGTACAGCATTGTATATCTATTTTATTGTTTTCTATGTGCTCACTTTGTAAACACGTTTCCCTTTGCAGCTAACATGTCACTGATGCTAGACAAGAACAAACAGATTCTTGATCAGATCACCACCCTGTCCACGCTGATGACAACGCTCTCCTCCTGCATCAARTTTGACCGTTATCGTGGCTACGCCTCCATCGAGGAGACGGACCGTGCGGCCCAGGAGCTCGCCAAAAACCGTGAACTCTATGCAAGTGAGTAAAAAWTCCGTCGGTCACACAGACCCTGTGCATTTTGTTAATCCAATGTGTAAACTGCAACGGCCACAGATAAACTGTAGCCTATAAATGCTTAAACTGTAAAGAAATGTGAAGGGCAACAGGCTTGAGGGTGATAAATAAAACACTGTGATTTTGTGCTCCTTAAGGTGTCATTTTCAAGCTTTCTGAAGACTCTTCAAGGAAGGCTAGATCCTCTCCGTCCTCAGCATCTTCTCTGCCTCCCAAAGTCAGCTACACCATCCGTATGCACATGGACAATGTCATGCGAACAGACAAAGTGCGAACCTCRTATTTCATCAAGGACACGCACATCTCGGCCAGGCTGACGATGCGCTACAACCGGGGATTTATCTACCTGCAAGAAAACATCGACCGGGCCATCATTGAAACCCAGATTGGGAAGAAAGTCACAGATGTGGCTGTGCAGACGCAGCCCTTCCCGTATCCGTGCTTCCTGCGAGACGAGTGAGTTTCTCAAATTCAAGGACGCTCACACGCACAGTCAGTCCCCGAAAGCATGCTTGCACAGAAACATGAAAGGACACACAGTATCAGAAGGGAAACTGGCATTGATGTGGAATAATGTATGCTCCTTCATTATTCATTTGCCACTTGGGAATGAAAATAAGTAGTCATTCACAGGAACCTGTCTGTTTGTAATTAGCAATGCATTATGTGCATGATTTTTCACTTTAAATGCACATTCATTTTTGAAAACCCGTGCACATACTGATTACACACTTAAATATCTCTCAGGCCTTAAAACACCCTCAGTGGAGTGCACCATTCCTTGTTGAAGACTTCCAGTCTAAAACGAGTTTGACAGTCTCATGTTTATTGACATGCAAGATTGTTTTCAATAAATCATTTTTGAACGGGATGTTCAAGTTTGCATGCCTTCGAGTGCCATTTTATTATTTTAGAATCACCAACAGGGTCTCTGCCTCAAGCTGGCCCTTTTCTTTATTCCAATGTATAACTCAACAACACAAATTCTGTCACAATAACTGTGAAATGTCAATATATGCAACAAACACTAGAATCCCACTTATCAGGTTGCTGGTGTCATTGTTTAAAAAAGAAATAAAATGGAGACAGATGGATTTATTTTGGAAAAAAATACCCAAGCTTTATCCAACTTTGTCAAGCCACTGACTGAATGATGGGCCCTTTTATCTGCTGGAATGTCAGGTTTCCCAGGAATTTGATTATTTGGCATCTCTGCCTTCCTCAGGTTCCTGGAGGCCATGTCTTTTGTCTTCCCTCTCATGCTGATGATACCATGGGTGTTGTTTGTGGCTGATTTTGTGAAGAAACTGGTGTATGAAAGGGAGCTGAGGCTGCATGAGGTAACGTTTGCTCAAACTGTCAAACGTTTTTTTGTCTTTCATTTTTAATTAATCTTTATAATTGATTTCTAATTGAACTTATTATTATTATTATTATTATTATTATTATTAAACTTTATTCATTTCATAAAACAAAATTCTATGTACAATAAAAAATAAAATACAAATAAAATGAAATGAAAGGTGGTAGAGAGAAGATAAAATCTTATATCTGCCCCTTTTTTCTCAAATATAGATTCAAACTATAAGGATCTTCAGTTAACAAAACAAAACACAACAAGACATTGAAACTTTCAAGAACAACAAAGTGAATGTCTTCAAACTAAATAATTTCATATTTTTTTAACAGTCTAGTCTTTATCATTCTCTTAAACATGCATATTGATGTGGCACTTTTAACATTGTCTTCTAAATTATTCCACAGTTTCACTCCTTGAATTGAGGTGCATCGTTCTTTCAAACATGTTTTGAATTTAGGTTTCATGAACATCTCWATTCCCTTAAGATTATAACAGCTTTCTCTCTTTGTAAAATTTATCTGAACATTTAAAGGTAATGCATTTCGGTGTGCTTTATACATAACTAACGAAATATTACAATCAATCAAATCATAGAATTTCATTAATTTCAGTTTACAAAATAATATATTAGAGGGATAAATATAATTTTTTCGGGTGATGACTCTTATAGCCCTTTTTTGAAAATAAAAACAGGATGTGTCTTACATGCTTTTCCCCATACCTCAACACAATAGACCAAGTGTGGAACAATTAATGTGTTATATAACACATACAGAGCTTTATAAATGAACAAGTCCCTTACTTTGTAAAGCAATGCAATAGATTTTGCTAGTTTTATTCTTAAATAATTAATATGAGGTTTCCATGTCAGTTTCTCGTCAATAATTACACCCAAAAACCTCACCTCAGTGACTCTACTAATCTCTACACCACAAACTCTGAATGGAATGTCAACAGTTCTTTGTCTCTTTGTAAATATCATATAATTAGTTTTGTCCAAATTTAATGATAATTTATTGAGTTTAAACCAGTTTTGTATTTTCACAAATTCTGCTTGCATGAGATGTAATACATATGTTTGCATTTTTAAAAGCAAAACAAAGTAACATTTTCTTATTCTTTGTGTTGTACTCATTCATAAACACTTTTTTTTAGCAAAATAACTCTAGTGTTATGACTTAAGCCGCCCTCTTGTTTCCACTCACAGTATATGAAAATGATGGGAGTCAACCCTCTCAGTCACTTTTTTGCCTGGTTCCTGGAGTGTGCTGCCTATCTGTTGATGAGCATTTTCATCCTCACAATGGTTCTGAGTTATGGGAACATCCTGCCCCAAAGCGATGGTTTCCTCCTTTTCCTGTTCCTCTGCAACTACGGTCTGAGCATCCTGGCCTTCAGTTACCTGGTCAGCGCCTTATTTGATAAGACCTACATCGCCGGACTGAGCGGAAGCCTCCTCTACGTCCTCTGCTTCTTCCCTTTCATCATCGTCATGGCCCTGGAAAGCAATTTAACCTTTACCGTGAAGAGTGTTCTGGTGAGTATGCGTAACCATTAGTCACGTATATTAAACAAGCATGTGCTCTGTGGAATCATTAAAATACCAAATAATGCAATTTGCTCTGGAAAATTACTCTGAAATTACGCAAAATAAAAAGGCAACTTTGACATTTCTTCTTGGAAAACAGCTTCAGCATCAAACTAGTTCAAAACAAGTAAAGAAAATAGGCCAATCTCAAAAAAATGTTCTTTACATTAACATCGTAATAAACAACAATTTCATTTTTGGACACTTTGTTACAAGCAAAGGATAAACTCATTTGTTTAATGTTGTTCCTATTTGATTTTTTTATGCTYCATGCTGTCTGATGATTATGTGGAGGTCAAACATCCCATATTTATATAAAAAAGGTCATTGCACACATAAAAACCATAATATGTTTGGGATGAGTCAGATGATGAATGTGCTCTCACTTCAGCATTTTTTAGTTTTTGGTGATTTGTCTTTAAAGTTTTTCTAACCTTTGCCGACAGGGTCTGTTTTCGCCAACTTGTTTCAGCTAYGCCTGTCAGTACATTACTCGCTACGAGTCTCAAGGAGAAGGTACGAGCATGTGGCCATTTAAATAGAATTTTCCTGGCGTGTCATGCAGCAAATTGAAGTGTTCACCTTTCTTAACTCTCAGGAATTCATTGGAGCAACTCGTACATCTCTCCCATCGCTGGAGACACAGCCTCCTTTGGCTGGTTGTGCTGGCTCATACTCATCGACTCCGTCATGTACTTCATCATCGGGGCTTACATYCGCATGGTTTTCCCAGGTAAACTATGAACTCTCATTTCTCTGTTCATGCAGTTAGTMTCCAGTACCCGTTTCTTGTTGCATTTCTCTTAAATATCTAAGWTTCTTTTTAAAGTCATGCAACCTGTTTAGATCTGCTTTGTCATGACAATATAGGTGAGTGTTGTATATGGAAAGTTGCATCACTTTTTTTATTTGAACCCATCAGGGAAATATGGCATCCCTGCACCGTGGTACTTCCCCTTCCAACTCTCCTTCTGGACTGAGCTCTTCAGTTGTAAAGGTTCAACAAAAACTGAAGGCAAAGGACTCTTCTTTTCCAACGTCATGCAGAATAATCAGCCGGTCTTCTCTGAAGGCAAAGGAAAAGGTACAAAATGAAAACAAAAACATTGCATAGAAAAAAAAACAAGCCTAATTTTTTTTTTACCTTATATTTTACACTTATCCTCATTCTCCATGTTTTATCAGAAAAGGGAACTCTCTCCTACAGTGCTGGTGAAGATTTTTCAGAGTTCCCTGTGGGTGTTGCMCTCCACGGCCTCACCAAGATGTACGGCGATCAAGCAGCCATTCAAAACCTTAACGTGTCCTTCTATGAGGGCCACGTCACCTCACTGCTGGGCCACAACGGAGCCGGAAAGACCACCACCATGTGCGTTCTGCAACATTTTTCTTTCCTTCTATTCTTTAAGAAATATTGGCAAGTCTCAAGATAAACCCACCGCAACTATTAAATGCTGTATGCAAGCTTTTTAAAGATTAGATTTGCACATCGCTTTAATCATTTCAGTGGTCTGGTGCTGACAGAGAGATTGTTTTGTTCAAATCTGGCACAGCAAATGCACCSTGATGGAGATTAGTCTGATGGGTCTTCATCAACAGGAGCACTCACATTTACATTTTAAATGGGACTCATTTTGCTGACGCTCTTATCCAGGGGAACATGTAATGAGTGCTGCAGCAGAATCAGATTAAAAACCACTGAAAATATAGATTTTATACCATAGAAAATGATTGGGACCAAACAAGAGATCAATTCAATTATTAATTAATTAATTGCATTATATAGTGTAAATAGTGCTTTATCATTAAATAACTCCATAACTTTGTACAATACTGCAATACATTTTGCCATTTTTGTTCTTAAGTAATTTATATGAGGTCTCCATGTCAGGTTTTCATCAATGATGACTCCCAAAAACTTCACCTCATTTACTCTACAGATCTCAACACCCTCTACTCTAAATGAAACATCAGTTGTTTTCTTTCTATTACTAAATATCATGTAATTTGTTTTATCCAAATTTAATGATAATTTATTATGTTTAAACCAACTTTGTACTTTTACAAATTCCATTTCCATTACTTCCAGCGTCTGTTCTGTGTTTTTACCCAAGCAAAAAAAAATGTGGTGTTGTTTGCAAATAAAACATTTAAACAACCCTGATACATTTACGAAGTCATTAATATATAGGAGAAACAACTTTGGTCCCAATATAGAACCCTGTGGAACCCCACATAAAATATTGCAAAGTTCAGATCTTACACCATTAATTTTTACAAACTGTTTCCTATTAGTCAAATAACTTGTACTACTGTAGTACTACAACTTCTATGCCATATTTGTTTAATTTCTCCAGAAGGATACTGTGGTCAATGGTATCAAATGCTTTTTTTCAAATCAACAAAAACACTGACACAGTATTGTTTTTGATCAACAGCTGTTATGTGTTCAATTAGGTCCATGAGAGCCATTGATGTAGATTTATTAGCTCTAAAACCATATTGATTTTTACTTAAAATATTTTGTGTATCAATAAACTGATCTAATCTGATGACAAACAACTTTTCCAAAATTTTGGAAAACTGTGGTAACAATGGTATTGGTCTATAGTTTGTAACCATATGTTTCTCACCACTCTTGTAGAGAGGGATTACTTTGGCTATTTTCATGTTGTCGGGAAATATTCCAGTTGAAAATGATAGATTGCAGATATAAGTAAACGATTCGATAACATAACCTAGTATTTCCTTTATCTTCGCTTTATATTTGAATAATGTTCTAATTTTAAACACATGCTCCATTTGTAGGTCTCTCCTGACTGGCCTTTTTGCCCCGACATCAGGCTCCATAGAGGTGTACGGCAAAGACATGCAATTAAACACCGACAAAGTCCGTAAAGAGCTCGGCGTCTGCATGCAGTACGACGTCCTCTTTGACCACATGACCACCAAGGAGCACTTGCTGCTGTACGGCCAGATCAAAGCCCCACAGTGGTCACGCAGAGAGCTGCACGAACAAGTCCGCACGTAAGTAAAGAGTCAGCCAGAGCACAGAGGGTAATGTGGGTGATCAAAGGAAATGTCCTAAAGATTATGTGAGTGCTTATACATGACGTGTTGGCAACACTTTAATTCTAATAAAGGATTATTTTGCAGACTGCATTTTATTTATTTTTTTAGAGATTTTGTTCAACACAGCCCTCTGATTAGCTTCTGTCATGGTCTGTGAATAAAATGAGTTGCGCAAGTAGTCAGTTCTCAATAAATGCAAGTAGTTAGGAAAAAATATGAAAGTATCAAATCAAAATCAGTGGTGTTAGTCAACCATATTTCATGACTTTAACCACTGATTTGTGAGAGTCAGAAAATGTTATTACTCTCACTTCAGCATTTTATGATCTGGAAAATACATCCTTTACTTCCACAGACATGATTGTCATCTCTGGAATATTTTTGCAATAATATGTTTGTTTTTCCTGTTTTTCATAAAAAAAATATAATAGTTGATTTGTTGTAGATCCTTTGCAGCTTCTTGCATAAAAGTCATTTTTCATTCCGTTGCATCTTAAGCTGCKTTGCATCATGAGCCTCTTCCCGGAGGGTTTCCATTTTACAAGAGGAGCTGTAATAAGCCTGAACCTGAAGGCGGGAAGTTGTTTCTCTCTTGTGGTATTCAAAAACCCTTGCTGGGTAACTAATGGAACTGATCGAAGTACAGCTCAGCGGCGCWGCTGTAATGCAGTGGAAATTGTTCACACGAGCCCCATGCTAAACGCTTTTTCTTTGACTCCCCTGCCAGGATCCTGGAGGAGACGGGCATGTACGCCCACAGACACAAGCGGGTCGGCACCTTGTCGGGGGGCATGAAGCGCAAGCTGTCAATCTCCATCGCCTTCATAGGGGGCTCACGCTTGGTGGTTCTGGATGAACCCACCACAGGAGTGGATCCGTGCTCCAGGCGCAGCATCTGGGACATTGTTATCCAGCACAAGAAAAGTGAGTTTTTAAGAAGTGCTTACTCAATTGGTTTTCTAAATTGTAGACCATTTAGCTAACATTACAACTTTTATTTCTACTAATCAGTGCTGACATTTTAGGAGTAAAATAATGTTAAACCCAAGATAACATRGATTTTGGATTAAGTTTCTATTTCTTCTTCATTATCGGCTTTCAGATAAATCTGATTTTCAGTTCCTCTGACATTTGATACATAATTTATAAGTAAATAAGCAACAACCTGCTCAGCTGATGTAGCAACAGATCATCCTCGATGCACTGCTTCCTCATAGCCAGGGTTTGCAGTTGTTCCATCTCCTGAAAATACTGTATGTCAATAATCATGATCCTGTTGCTGGGAAAAACTAGCTCAATCTTTGATTTGTTTGGCTAAAACACATTTGCACGTTTTTCTGAAATAAAAAAAACAACATAAAGCAAATACATTTTCTTCCTCACTCTTATTCCATGTAGGTCAACCCTATGTGTTTGCTTTCCAGGTGTAAGCTCATACACTTATATACAGTATACRCAACTGTAATCAACTTCAAACCCTGARTATAAATTGCTTTTAAAGGTTTAAAAAGTCAACAGTTCTATCATTTTTGCATTGCAGTACATTAAATTTGGACATAATTATTTTTTTTAATTGTTATTTATTCGTTGTTGCTTTAGGTGTATTTTTGTATTTTTAGTGATTATTTTTACACTGTTTCTTATCAACATCCTCACATCATCTTTCTTTATTTTTTCTGAAAAATATAAAATTCAGAGGGGATAAAAGTATCTGTCATTGCTGAATTACTTTAGCTACTTTGTTTTGCTGTCCAGTTTAATCATCAGTTGATTGCTTCTAAAGCCCTGCAATTACCTAACTTTATAGTCTGCCACCTGTTATCCCATTGTTTATGTAGTTCTGTGATTTGATTTGACTCATTTGTCTTTGACTCTCATTTCGTGTTTTATGGATTTGTATTTTATGTTTATATTTGAAGACTTTCATAGCTGGTGGCTATAAGTCATGAATAATTTAGTCTGACATTATCGTTCCGTCATAATTCAGAGAAAATTTGAAAAACGGAGTGATTTAAAACCACTGTAGCACATAACAGTTTTGTTTAAAGGAAAGGTTGTCCAATTGAAAACCTTGTTACTCTAAATGCCTGGCACGAAATGACAAATGACACATTTATTGTTGCAATTATTACAGTTATTGGTAAAAAAAAAAGTTATGTGTGAGTAAATGAGGCACCTTTTCATCTGTGTTTTTTTCAGATCGCACCATTATCATGTCCACCCACCACCTGGATGAGGCTGAAGTACTGAGCGACCGCATTGCTTTCCTGGAACGAGGAGGATTAAAATGCTGTGGATCACCCTTCTACTTGAAAGACAAGCTGGGTCAAGGCTACAAACTCACCCTCACCAAGAAGGTAATCATCTTCACAGACGTGCAGTCATGTCAGTGCAAAGCGATGAAAAACTGAGCAAAACTCTCATATATTAATTTTCTTCTCAATACAAAAATATTCAGAGATATTTTCTTTTCTCATGCTTTTAATCAAATATTTCAGCCAGTCCAGTGCTTTATGTTAAAACGTTAGTGTAAGTTAAGGTTGTGGGATTGCAGGCCACAACCTTTATCTTGAGTGTCGGGGGAGTAGGAGCACATCTCTGATGCATCTTAACAGAGACACATCTTTGCCAGCRTAAACTGTAACATTTCACCATCTATTATATGGACAAGCTTGACCGCTCGTGTGGAAATAAATCCTAGGTTTTATCTATGCTGCATTTGACATATGGCAACAGTGTGATGTCTATCTGCTATATTGAAAATCTGGCTGATTAACTAAATCCCCCACTCAAATGATGCTCTGCAGACTTTTGCAGCATACTTTATGTTCACATGCTGCCACAGCTTTTTGCCAAAAGTTCTAATTTTTTTCCCACTGCTAAAAGGTGAAGGCTGACGATATTTTACCTAAGTCTGTGTGTATATCCAACATATCATAAATCAAAACTCCTTCTCCTTTCAATTGTCTGTTGACAAACTCTGAAGTTAGTCTCCTTTTTTAAGAAGCAGGGATACTATTTTATCCATTTATGTGATGATTCTGAAAGTGGAAATTCTAAGCCATGCCCTTTAAAGCCTAACCCTTTAAAAATGGTCAGAAAATTCACATTTTCTAGAAGTGACATGTTTATTGGGCCTTTTAAATACAATCCAAAAAAATATATATATATATTTTTGCCGCATCACTTTGTTTATGATATATTTTTTGTATCAAATCTGATACACTGGGCTGTTTTGGTAACATTTTGCTCACAACAATGTTAAATTAAGAAACAAAAGACAGTTTTGCCCATAACTTTAAACAAGTTTAGAACACTCTAGGAAGTTTACTTCTTTGTTTTTTCCCCTTTTTTTTTACAATGAAGTTTTTACAGCCATTTATTTCACTTCGTGGTAGGCACAAAAACAGTTTCTGTCCTTGTTCAGGCACAGATATACCTTACACTTCATAAAAAAATGCCATCTATTATCAAATTGATGACATTTTCTTATTTTCTTTTTTTCTCTCTTCTTCCTCAATTTTTTTGACATGTAACACGTAAAAATTTAGTCAGTACAGCGTAGAGATTATAATTTCAAAGGAACCACTT